AGATGGTAAAGACCACATGTACTATGGTTTTGTTCATATTAGGTAAAAAGCGAGATGGGGAAAAGCGACCCAATGTTTTAGAGATATATTCATGAGCGCTAAGAACATGAAGAAAAACAGGGGTTGGTTACCATAAAAGTCAGGACAGTGACAGCAGAGGCTTGGGGACATGATAGGGATGGTTTCTGGGTATTGCTGGAGACTCCTCCTCCTTCCTCTCCAGCCATGAGCTGGTATCAAACCGAGACCCACGATCTAGACATATGACACTGCATCCTGTTCCTGAGTCTAGAACATTCTAGGTCTGCACTGTCTAACATGGTAGCTGATCCTTGGTCTAGGACATTCTACATCTGTGCTATCCCAAACAGCGGCTGACTCCTAGTCTAGGACATTCTAGGTCTGCACTGGCCAACATGGTAGCTGCCTCCTAGTCCAGAACATTCTAGGTCTGAACTCACCAATACAGTAGGTGACTCCCAGTCTAGAACATTCTATATCTGCTAACACAGTAGCTGACCCCTGATCTAGAACATTCTAGATTTGAGTTGTCCAATGTGGTAGCCACTAGCCACATGTGGCGGTTTAAGTTTAAATTTAAATGTATTAAGATCAAGTAACATTAGAAATTGTTCCCGAGGGGCACCTGGGTGGCTCAGTCGATTAAGTGTCTGCCCTCAGCTCAGGTCATGATCCTGGGGTCCTGGGATCGAGCCCCATGTCTGGCTCTCTGCTTAGCAGGGAGTCTGCTTTTCCCTCTGCCCCTCCCCCCCGCTCATGCTCTCTCTCTCTCTCAAATAAATAAATAAAATCTTTTTTTTTTAAAGAAACTGTTCCCAAGTCACACTTGCCACATTTCAAAGACTCAACAGCCACACAAAGCCAGTGGCCACCAAACTGGACAGCAGAGACAGAACGTTTCCATCACTGTGGAAAATTCTATCGGACAGCAATGGTCTAGAATGGGGATCTGCCAACTCCATTGTGGGCCTCCGTCTGTTTTTGTAAAGTTTTATTGACACACAGCCACACCCATCCATTTATGTATTGTCTGTGGTTTCTTTTATGTGATGTGACAGAGGCCCTATGGCCCATGAGGCCAAAAATATTTACTCTCTGATCCTTTACAGAAGAATTTTGCTGAATCTTGACCTAGAATATTTCCAAAGGCTACTGTCCAATATGGTAGCCACCAGCCACATGTGGCCATTGAGCCCTTGAAACATGGCTTGTGTGACCAAGGAATAGAGTTTTAAATTTTGTTTAATTATAATTAATGTAAATATAAACTTAAATCTAAAAACTGATTCCTGACTCCATTCTTAGAAAACCTTTTAAGTATGTTTAGAGCAAGCGGGGTGTGTGAACCTTCTTTTCCGACCATCAGTTTTATAGAATGCAAACAGCAAAGGCAGATCGAGCATTTCTGATAACAACTGATTGTCCAACTTCAGACGGACTGAAAAGCAGGACACACACTGGGTGTTGGACGCCTACGAGGGAAAAAGGAATGTGAGCTCTTACTAACTATGCTGACTGCCTGCTGAAATGATAATATTTTGGAGAGGTATTGGGTTAAAATGAAATCTAGTATGAAAATTAATTTCACCTGTTTCTTTTTAATTTTTAAACGTTGCTCCTAGAAAAATGTGAATGCAATTTGTGGACTGCATTATATTTCTATTAGCACTGTTCTAGAACATTCACCAGCTCCTTATTCTCCCGATCACTGGATGACAGTTGTCTCTCCCAGTCATGACAATCGCAAATGTCCCCAGACATCACCCAGGGACCCGCGGGGGCAGAATCACCCCCAGGGTTGAGACCCCCTTCTGACCTGATGTAACTCCTCCGTGAGACAACGGAGGCTCTCGTGTGTCCCGCACTCAAAAATGCGCCTGGCACGTTCCTACCTCCCAGTCTCGGCACACTTGGTCCCCACGCCACCCCCACCTCCATCTGCCACAGTCTTCCCCATCTCTCAAGACGCAGCTCAAACGCTCCCTCCTCCAAGAAGGCGCCTTGTTTGCCTGCCACCAAGTCATTGGCGGTGGGGCAGCCCCCTGCTTCCCTTCTGACCCCCCCACCCCCGAGACGCCGCCCCCGGCCGCCTTATATCCGCTGTTCATTTAGTGCTCGCCCCATTACGGTGGGTTGAATAGGGACTCCCCTAAAACACGTCCAAGTCCTAAGCCCCTGAAACCTGCGAGCCCCTGAACCTTATTTGCAACAGGTGTCCTTACAATGTCAGTAAGTCATGGATCTCGAGATGGGGTCATCCTGGATTTCGGGTGAGCCCTAAGTCCAATGACAGGTGTCCTTATAGGAGAAAGGCAGAGGGAGAGGGGAGACGTGTAGGCACGGAGGACGGCCATGTGGTGACAGCGTCAGGGATCGGGCTGATGCGTCAATGAGCCAGAGAACATCAAGGATTATGGGCATCACCTGAAGCTGGAGAGACATGGAGCAGGTTCCCCCCAAAACCTCTGGAGGGAGCACAGCCCTGCTGATGCCTTGATTTCAGACTTTGGCCCCGAGAACTGAGAGAGGGCAAGTCTCTGTCGCTTTAAGCCCCCTAGTGCGCGGTGCTTGGTTGCAGTGACCCCAGATCACTCACTGGCTCCCCCATTCACTCCTGCCCGGAAAGCCTTCCTCCTAAAGCATCTCAAACCCCTGACTTCTACCTCCGCCATCCCTGCCCGAGTTGCTTCCTGACCAACTACAGCTCCCTGCTGCCCCTCTGGCCCCCCTCCCTGCTCAGAGAGGCGTCCCCAAGCACCCTGTCTGAACAGAACCTGCATTCGGAGTCTGAAAATCACTGTGAAAGACCCCCCGCTTCTCAGCTCCATGTTGCGCTCACCACCAGAAGCCCTCCCATTGGGTCCCACTTGGGTCACAGATCAGGTGCTCAGTACGCATCTGACACGTCTGCAGAATGAACCAATGTGTGCTGAGCACGCAGCCCAGGGTCCGCCCTGGAGGGGCCCCTAATCCCGGCTGCTGATGGAGCCCAGAGCCCAGCTTTGGCCCCCAACACAGAGGGAGCTGGGCCTCAGGTAGTGGAGAGGGAGGCTGGCTTTGACTCCACCAGGAAAATGGGAGCAGATAAGAAGAACTTAGCTGGGGACACCACTAGAAATGTTAGCAGATCTCCAAGAGGGTACGGATTTCTCTGGACAGAAGGGTCAGAGCTTCCAGCCCGAATCTGATCACTCACACACACACACACACACACACACACACACACACACACACACAGAGGTCCACTGGACATGGAGGGACTGGGTGCCCGCAAAGTGTCTGCCGTCAAATCCCCGTTCTGCTGTTTGCTGGCCGCCCAGCCTTGGACACATCCACTAGAACACTGCTTTGTTCCTCTCGGTGCCCAATGCCCCCAGGCTCCTGGTGCCCGGAGCTGGGCAGACAGGTGTCGCTCTGAGACCCAGGGGCACTGAGCTTCCTCCTTGCATCCTGGGGGGAGCCGGCCGCCATGCCGCAAGGCTGCTCAAGTGCTATCAAGGTCTCACTCCCCCCTGGAGAGGAAGTGAGACCTCCCATCCGTGGGCCACTCCAGGGGCCAGCACGGAGGCCGGTCCCACAGCCACACTCAAACGCCGGCTGACCGCTCGACTGCGACGTCAGGAGAGACTCTGAGCCAGGACCATGCGGCAAACTCATTCCCTAATTCCTGACCCGGGGCCCCCGAGATAACTCATGCTGGTGGCTTGAAGCCACCAGGTTGTGGAATAATCGTTAGGCAGCAGGAGATAACTAATATGGTCCACAGAACCCCACTGTTCCCCCCACCCCCCAGTGCTAACCTGTACGGATGGACCTGCCCTCCAGTTCCGGCTCAGTTTGGGGAGGTGCCGGCAGAACAACCGAGGGAGGGAGAACTGTGAATTCTCTTCTCAGATGTCACCTCCTCAGTGAAGCCTTCCATGACCACCTTCGCTACGGTTTCCTCCCCTCACTCCCCCCTGTTATACTCTTCTGGTGCTGAAGATCAGAGAGGTTAAGTCACTGGCTCACAGACACAGCAAAGACTGCTGGGAGCTAAGCAAGGAGTGCCGCCACAGCTCTCTACCGCTCTTGTCTCTACTTCACCCCCCCGCAAAGAGGGACACCTTATTCTTCACTATGAGGTTGAGGCCAACCCCAGGACCATTTTTGGTGCTGTTCAGAGTCAAGTCAACCCCTGCCATGATCTCATGTTCCCAGCAGGTGCACCCCGATTATCCAGCCAGCCATGCTGTGCCCATATTCTCAGCATTTGTGGCCACAGATGCCACCCAAGTTGCCCCCAAATGCCTTTGAGGCTGAAGAGTCCCTGAGAAACGCAGAGGGAAGCGTGGACACCCCCAGAGGTCATGGGGTGCCATGGATCTCACTGTGGTTCCTTCGATTTCCACCCAGAGGCACTGCCCGGGGACCGGGCTCAGTTAGCTCAGGGGGACCACCCTCCCTTCACTGGGGACAGGGACCTCCTGCCCACCCTGAGAAGGCAGGGCTGACAAGGGAGAGCCAGCAGGGACAGAGCCTGGGCCAGCCCTGTATGACTTGCCCAGTCCCCACCCTGCCCTCCCCTCCTCCCTCTCTCCCTCTTGCCCACTCTGTTCCAGCCACACAAGCCTCCTTGCTGTCCCTCCAACACGCTAGGCACAGTCCTGCCCCAGGATCTTTGCACGGACTATTCCATTTGCCTGCTAATGCTTCCTCATCCTTCAGGTCTCAGCACGACACTAACATGCTGGGCCAGGTGCCCTTGTGCAGTATGCGACCTACACAACCACACACAACCACTCTGATGGGAAGTATGGAGCATGGCATGCGGTAGGCACTCAATAAATGCTCTCTTTGGTGATCATTTCTGTCTGTCGGCACCTTATACCTCTTTCTGAGTCCAGAGGCATGTGGGCTTCACAGCTGATCCTAGGAAGGGCCTTAGGCTTCCCCAGGCTGAGAGCAGCCCCCCTCCCCAGACAGCACCTCGGACTCACCCCGGGCAAGGTCTTCTGTTCGTGCAGGGCAGTCTGAGCTTTGATGGCGGAGTCCCTGGCACAATAGGTGAGAAAGGCACAGCCTGGAAAGGAAAGAATTGGGGGTGTTAAGAGAAAGGAATGCGGAGACCCATGTTCACGGTCACATTGATCCCAACAGCCAGAAGGTGGAAGCAACCCAAATGTCCATCAGTGGATGAAGGATAAACACAACTTGTCGTTCCATCCACACGCTGGAACACGATCCAGCCTTAGAAAGGAAGGGACCCCGACACCTGCCACGACGTGGAGGGACCCCGAGGACACCGGGCTCAGCGAGAGGAGCCAGACCCAGAAGGACACATCCCACAGACCGCACTCCCAGGAGGTCCCCAGAGGAGTCCCGTCCACACAGACAGAGAGGAGAGGGTGGGAGCCGGGGCTGGGGCAGGGGGTGGGGAGTCCGTGCTTCGTAGGGACAGAGTCTCCGTATGGAGAGATGGAAAATTCTGGAGACGGCGGATGGGGGGGTGGTGATTGCACGACAGTGTGAGTGTGCTTCATGCTGCTGAGCTGCGGGGCGCCTGGGTGGCTCAGTCAGCTAAGCGTCTTCCTTTGGCTCAGGTCATGATCTCAGGGTCCTGGGATCCAGCCCCACTGCATCAGGCTCCCTGCTCAGTGGGGAGTCTGCTTCTCCCTCTCCCTCTGCCTCTCCACCCCCGCCCCCGCTCGTGCTCTCTTTCTCTCTCAAATAAATAAATAAAAAAAATCTTTTTTAAAAAATGCTTTGAGCTGTGCACTTAGAGATGGTTTAGACGGTAAATTTAATGTTATGTGTATTTTACCACAATAAAATAATGGAAAAGGAGGAAAAATTGTTTAAGATGGTAGATTTTATCTTCTTTTTTACTATAAGTTAAACAGAGGAGCCAACTTTTTTGGCGGGCGGGGGCCAACAGCAGTGGTTCAGCTGCCCCCCACCCCAAACGGTGAGCTAGGGAAGGGGAGAAAGGAGACCCAGCTGTTAAGTACATCCGTGGCTGACGCTAGATAAAGAGATACTGAGAAGACTAGGTGAGGTGCGGTGGGGGGAGTGGGACAGCTGCTGCCTCGGAGCGGGGGGGCACCAGCAGCCCCAAAGACGCAGAAGGCTCCCCGGGACCGGGCAAGGAGCACCATGGCTCTGCATGGACCTCCTTCGTGGCCTCGCATGGGGCGCCACCTCTCTCTGGGTCTCAGTTGTCCCCATCAGAGAGGATGGTCCCAGTGTAGAAGGGGGGGGAGGGACAAGGGGCGGGGGAGGAGCTAGAGGGGGCGTGGCGCAGTGGCCAAGGGCAGAGCCAATCAGGAGAGGAAGGGGCGGGCCAGCCCTGAAGTGGTCCAGAGCCAGGGTGTGACTGACTGGACGTCGTCTTGGGGTGGGGGTGGGGCTGGGGCGGGGTGCAAAGCGTCAGAACTGCAGAGACAAGAGACATTGAGAGAGACAGAAGCAAGGAGAGAGAAGCCCCCAGAGAAAGGCTGATGAGATCAAAGGTATTTGAAAGATGTTTGCCTGAGGCCGGGTGTGGGATGCAGGCAGGTGTCAGGTCCCCTTCGACGGACCCAGGGGACCGGGCCTCAGCCCTGGGCTTTGCCTCTAACCTCTGTGGACCTCATTTTCACTGCGTGTGAAATGAGACCATCGTTGGCCGCTCTGATGCTGTTGGACCCTGTGTCCACCACCCCCATCTCCCTCCCTCTGCCTTCCCCTCCCCCGCAGGACCCCCTGCGCAGAAGCCCTGGGAACAGCTTCGTGGTGCCCATTTTTGCTCCAGGCAGGAGCTAATTAAAGCCGTATCCTTCCTTCTGGGATGAGCTCACCAAGCCCCCACTCCCACAGGCGGGGCCCGTTGATGGGGAGGGGTCTGCCTCAGGCCTGACAGGCTCCCTTGGAACCCTGGGGAGAAAGGCACCAGGCAGAGCTGAGGATGGTTTCTAGCATTTAAAAAACATTTGTTGTGAGAATGTAAAATGGTGCAGCCCCTGTGGGAAACAGTTTGGCGGCTCCTCAAAAAAGTTAAACATAGAATTACCATATGATCCAGCAATTCCACTTCTGGGTCTATACCCAAAAGAATTGAAAACAGGGACTCGAACAGATATTTCAAACAGATATGACACATATTCACAGCAGCATTATTCACAACGGCCAAAAGGTAGAACAACCCAAGTGTCCACCAACAGACGCATGGATAAACAAAATGTGGTCCATTCATACACTGGAATATTATTCTGCCTTAAAAAGTGGGGAATTCTGACCCATGTTACAACGTGGATGAACCTTGAGGATGTTATGCTCAGTGTAATAAGCCAGACATAAAAGGACACATCCCTCAGGACCCCACTCCCAGGAGGTCCCCGGAGGAGTCCCGTCCACACAGACAGAGAGGAGAGGGTGGGAGCCGGGGCTGGGGCAGAGGGTGGGAGTCTGTGCTTCATGGGGACAGAGTCTCCGTGTGGGGAGATGGAAAGTTCTGGAGACGGAGGGTGGGGCTTGTTTTACAACAATGTGATTGTGCTTAACGCCACTGAGGTGTGCACTTAAAAATAGTTAAGATGCGGGGGCACCTGGGTGGCTCAGTCAGTTAAACGTCCGACTTGTCTTGGCTCTGGTCATGATCTCAGGGTCGTGAGATGGAGTCCCGTATAGGGCTCGGCGCTCAGCTGGGGGGTCTGTTTGAGATTCTCCCTCTCCCTCTGCCCCTCCCCCACCACTCCTCTCTCTCTCTCTAAAAATAAACAAATCTTTAAAAAAATGGTTAAGATGGGGCGCCTGGGTGGCTCAGTTGGTTAAGCAACCGCCTTCGGCTCAGGTCATGATCCTGGAGTCCCGGGATCGAGTCCCACATCGGGCTCCCTGCTGAGCAGGGAGTCTGCTTCTCCCTCTGACCCTCCCCCCTCTCATGTCCTCTCTCTCTCTCATTCTCTCTCTCTCAAATAAATAAAAATCTTTAAAAAAAAATGGTTAAGATGGGGCGCCTGGGTGGCTCAGTCGTTAAGCATCTGCCTTCGGCTCAGGTCATGATCCCAGGGTCCTGGGATCGAGCCCCGCATCGGGCTCCCTGCTCAGCTGGAAGCCTGCTTCTCCCTCTCCCACTCCCCCTGCTTGTGTTCCCTCTCTCGCTGTCTCTCTGTCTGTCAAATAAATAAATAAAATCTTTAAAAAAAAATAAAAAATGGTTAAGATGGTGAATTTAATGTTATGTGTATTTTACCAAAATAAAAAATTGTCATTGGGATATATTAAAAACATACCCCCTCCCGGCGCCTGGGTGGCTCAGTTGCTTAAGCGACTGCCCTCGGCTCAGGTCATGATCCTGGAGTCCCAGGATCGAGTCCCACATCGGACTCCCTGCTCGGCGGGGAGTCTGCTTCTCCCTCTGCCCCTCCCCCCTCTCATGCTCACTCTCTCTCTCTCAAATAAATAAATAAATCTTTAAAAAAAATTAAAATTAAAAAAAAAAATACCCGCCCAAGAAAAGTGCAGAACATGAAAGTATACAATGTAGCAAATAATTATAAAATCATGTAACCATTTCCCAGGTCAAGGAATAGAACAGGGCAGTCACCGGAAACCCCAGCGCCTCCCATCGCATGACAAGCCCCTCCATCCGCCGGAGGTGATTGCTATCCTGGCTTTTGTGATAACCACGTCACTGCTTTTCATTATGGCTTCCCGCCCCGTGTGTGTCACTAATCAATGTAGCTGAGTACTTCCTGCGTTTGAACTTATATAAACGGAATCATAGCATATGTATACTTTGTGTCTAGATTCTGTTACTCAACAACAGATGGTTGTGAGTATCAGGAGTTAATTCCTTTTCATAGTTGTGTAATATTTTCTCCTGTGAATATACTGCAAGTTGGCTATCCGTTCTCTCGTGAGTGGGCATCTGGGTTGTCCACTGTTAGAGACGATCATGAATAACGCTGCCATGGAACATTCTTATATAGGTGCTTTGATGCACAAAGGCATATCCAGGAATGGGATTGCAGGTTATAAGGTAGGTTTATGTTTAGCTTTAACGGATTCCTTCAGTTTTCCAAAATGGGTTGTACCAAAGAATTCTCCAACCAACAGGTCTGACAATATTAATGCTTCATTTTCACCAACCCTTGGTTTTACCAGCCTTTTAAATGTAGTCATTATGGTAGGCGTATCACTGCATTTCATTGAGATTGTAACATACATTGCTATAGTTATTAATAAAGCCAGGCACCTTGTTGCTTTGTAGGAGTTCTTTATGTGCTGTGTAATAAAGAATACTTTGTATTCTTTTGTGGTTACATCTGATGCACGCATCTTCCCCCAACCCATGGCTGGTCTTTCTACTCTTTTTTTGGTGTTTCTATTTTCTGAATTTAATCCCCCAAGGTCTTCAGGGAAAGGAGAGGCACTAAGACAACTAGCCTAGGGCCTGAGAAAAATTAGGCACAACCAGCAAGAAATTGGATTGCAAGAAGATGTGAAATAGAGGCAAAACCCCTCCCCCTTGGGCGCATTCTTGCCCGTGAGGCCTCATTGGCAGAACATGGAGTGTGCTGGTCCTGGGAGGCTAGGATAGGACCCCCGAGCGACCTTCTAGGCCATCAGCCTCTGGGTCCGGAAGGTTTTCAGCCAGAGGGACAGAAAGACCAAATTGCATGCCACTGTCCCCGGTGCTGAAATGCTTGCCTGTTCTCTTGACCCCTTAGTTTCTCTTTTCTAATGGGGAGAAATGTGTGATGTTTACCCCTTTCTGGGTAAATACAGCCTTGATGTTCAGTTAGTTCAGTTCCTGTTAGGGTTTAATTGGATCCCCCCTCCCCAAAATTCATATGTTGCTGTCCTAACCCCTCAGGACCTCAGAATGGGACCTTATTTGGAAAATGAGCCATTGCATATGTAATGAGTTAAGGTGAGGTCATCCTGGAGGAGGGTTAGCCCCAGTGCCATAGGACTAGTGTCCTTACAAAAGGAGGAAATTTGGGCACAGAGCCACACACCCAGGGAGAAGGCCATGTGATTATGAAGGCAGAAATGTGGGGGATGTATCGACAAGCCCAGGGACTTCCAACAAATCAC